TGTGACGGTGATGCGGAGATGGTGGTAGGGGTTTTCTTCCTTGGTGATGGAGGGGGATGAGGAAGGGTCTGTGATTTCGCGGAGACGCTGTTGGAGATATGTTAGTTCATGATGTAACTGGATTACTCTAGCGACTTGAAGAGCCAAAAAGAAAAAGAAATGTTGTTATCCCTCCTCTGGAGGGAGAAGGAAAAAAATTGGAAAACATACAACAGAAGGGATTCGCTGGTGGTCACCCACCCAACTACTAACCTCCCGGCGTGTGGCTTAAGTACGGCTGAGCGGACGGGAAGCCCTGTTTTCCACACCCTGTGGTCGTATGTACTTGTTTCATATTTGAGAGGGTTCATATCCTGGCTAACAGTAGGCTAGCTCCGGTGATCCGGCGCATTTGCTTCCAATGTGCTTGCATCTCCGTTTCAACCTCCGAACGCAACTCAAGCCGTACCATCGCCACATTTTCGCAATGCTCTTTCGGAAGAGGTATAGTATATGCAAGCAGGGACAGAAAGGAAATATCGTTTCAACGTACCTCGGCGGCCCTCGGCGAGATACTAATCAACAAGGCCTTTCCCTCTTCGTCAACTCTCGGGTTTTGTAGCACCTTGGTAGCTGATCGGATACTCGTGGTGGAAAAGGAAGAGCGTTGTCCGAAAGCGTCAAAGCGGAATACTGATCGCGGTGAGGATGTGCTCGCCCGGGGGCAAAGGAATCTAGGCCGGAGCGTGGATCGTTGGGAAACGGTATCGCAGAAAGATGCGGAGAAGCTCAATGTCGGCAACGTTGCCGGGGAAAGTGCAGAAACCGCGGTGCGAGGCGAATGAGAGCGGGAGAGCCGGCGGGCTGCTGTTGAGAGGATCGGACGGGACATATTTGTTGTCATAGAGGAGAAAGTAGGTGTTAGGAAAGGCGAGTGAAGGAGGACTTTTGTTGAGGGAGAATGAAGACTGGATTGATAATATGATCGGAGGCTCGGAGCAGCCATCGAAAAGAAGGTATTATTGCCGTTAGTCAGAGGGTTCGGGATGACGCCATTGGTCGATCGGGAACCGGCAAGAAGTGGCAGAATCGAGATAATCGCGGGGAACTTCATTGGCTTTGCGTAACATTTCCATGACTGTAGCTTCTTCCCCTTCTTTGCTGATGGTGTCTATGATTGTATAGTAGACGAGGAGTTTGGGTATATTCATTCTATTTCTTTTTGCCAGTACATAGTACCTCCACCATACCAAAAGAGCCCATACAAACATGAGTTCTCAACTTGCACATGAATCGAGCGTCAGCTCCCCGCTTTCCTACAAGACTGATATCAATGCCTTCACCAAGGAATATGCAGAGTCTCTCGATGCACAAGATCCTTTGCGCGAATTCCGAAAGGAATTTATTATCCCTTCTAAAGTTGACTTGAAAAGGAAGACTTTGGCAATTGACAATAGCTGTACGTATCGTAGCGCTGCTATATTGTCTCAATTTCACTAATCAATTGCCCTCTCATCTAGCCACTGATGAGTCTGATCCCCGGTGTATATATCTCTGTGGAAACTCATTGGGCGTTCAACCTCGTAACGCCCGCAAGTACATTGACTATTATCTACGGACATGGGCTATCAAGGGCGTAACTGGACATTTTCTTCCGCACGAGGACCAATTGCTCCCACCATTTGTTGACGTCGATGACGCCGGCGCGAAGCTCATGGCGCCAATTGTGGGAGCCCTGGAAAGTGAAGTGGCAGTGATGGGCACACTGACGGCGAACTTACACTTCTTGATGGCGAGCTTCTACCGCCCGACCCAGGAGAGGTATAAAATTATCTTGGAAGGGAAGGCGTTCCCAAGTGACCATGTGGGTTCGAGCCTGATAACCATTTGAGAAGCAATTACTTACCTTATTGAGTATAGTACGCCATTGAATCACAGATTAGACACCACAATCTCCGCGCAGAGGATGCTATGGTCCTCATCGAGCCGGAAGACCGGTTGAAGCCGGTTCTGCGAACGGAGCAAATTCTCCGAGTTATTGATGAACATGCCTCAAGCACGGCGCTTGTGCTCCTTTCCGGTATCCAGTTCTATACAGGGCAGTACTTCGACATCGAGAAGATTACCGCGCATGCCCAATCCAAGGGGATTCTCGTTGGCTGGGACTGTGCGCATGCAGCCGGCAATGTCGACCTGCGCTTGCACGACTGGAATGTAGATTTTGCTGCATGGTGTAATTACAAGTACCTTAACAGTGGCCCGGGTGGTATGGCAGCTTTGTTCGTGCATGAGAGACATGGCCGAGTTGAGATGGACAAGGTTGGCAGTGATGAGGAGCCCTTCCGTCCGCGCCTCTCGGGCTGGTGGGGAGGCGACAAGAAGACTCGCTTCCTCATGAACAACAGTACGTAGGCAACTTTCTGCCACAGATTACTCAACAACTAACTAAGAAACACAGACTTCGTTCCGCAGACGGGTGCCGCAGGATTCCAGCTATCCAACCCTTCCGTTCTGGATATGAATGCGGTCGTGGCGTCGCTTGAGCTGTTCAATCGGACCTCGATGGCCGAGATTCGTCAAAAGTCCTTGAACGCCACTGGCTACTTGGAACATCTCCTCCTGAACTCCCCTGCAGACTTCTCTACTGGGAAACGACCTTTCTCCATCATCACACCTTCGAACCCAGCAGAACGTGGTGCACAACTCAGTCTGCTGTTGGAACCGGGACTTTTGGATAGCGTCTTGGAGACACTAGAAGAGCACGGAGTTGTAGTCGACGAAAGGAAGCCCGACGTCATCCGAGTTGCACCGGCACCTTTGTACAACACGTACACGGAAGTGTGGGAGTTTTGCCAGATCTTCTTCGAAGCCTGTCAGAAGGCTCTGGAATCACAAAAATAATCAATAGAGAGGTAAGTATCTTGGGTTGCCGATCCTGGGTTGATATTGCGTATATGTCATCTTGGATATATAATGTTATTTTTGTCTATTAATTATGACACTGGACAGACATTGACCAATCTACATATTACCTACTATATATGAACATATTACTATCAGACTAAGGACTTGAAGCACCACATAACACTGCCCCTCCTATATGATAAGCTATACATTAGTAGTGCCAGCCCTACCATATCCAATTACCATGGCAGCTCCCTTCCAGATGACTATAGCTTCATATTTCTCAATTAACACAGCATCGAACATACACTCATCCCGAACGATCATCCCAATCAACCAAAAGCAAAGTAAGCACGCTCCAACGGTTGCCGTTCCGACTCCCAAGCCAGCCAATCCGATCTCGTAGTCCTGTCGCAATGTAGTATTAGCAATGAACAATATCCAACCAAGCGCACATTCCACGCGGAAACAAGCACAAGTCACAGGCACCACATACGGCAAAAGTCCCATCGCATTAACCTTCCAAATACCCAAGCACAACAGCACCAGCTGCATAACGACATATATCGCCTTCACACCCAGAAGCTTCGCGCGCGTGCCCTCTGTATCGAACTTGGCGAACACCGTGTTGGTATTAATCAGGCCCTGGATGGGGCCCTTGAACAGCATAAACACCATCATGATACTGAAGATCTGTAGACTATTTCCGGACATGTACATCATGATCGCGTTCATGGGGATCTGCTTCGAGGGAGCGAGGGCAATTTCCCATGCTTTCTTGAGCTTTAGGGTATCGGTTTCGACGGGTTTGGACGGGGCCGAGGTGACTGAGGACTGCTGGGCGCGGTTCTGGAGTGATGTAGATGTCGCGTTAGTATGAGCTGGGGTGCGAGAGAGGGTATATCGGCATGGTGATTGATGAGGTGAACGTACATTCTTGCCAGTGGTTTTCCTGGAGAAGCCTGGAGGATCAGGGATACTGGTAGCCTCTTTGGATGGGCGTGGCATGGGGGTGTTCATTCTCACCACCCATTGGGGCGGCGGTGGAGGGGGTAGAGAAACCATGGTGGACTGTGAGAGTCGAAAGAACTCTCAGTATTTAGCTTCTCTGTGCCTGGGAGATATTGAGGGATAGAGAGGTAGCGGAAAGGTTGATGCCGCAAGCCAGGCCGAGCTTGGAGATGAGGAGGGAGCGATTAGAGTGACGATGATCCGGCCGGAATCGATGGATGGATGGATTTCTCCACCAGCGCGGAGTTGGCGGCCCCCGATCCACTCCTGATTCTCACGCTGCCTCTCCAAAGTTGCTCCAGTCGACGTCGTTTTGGGATTTCACATTCATCAAGGACAGAGAGAGGGAGATAATCTGGGGTTATATTAATTGAGATAGGTAAGTACACTGTCACGCCCTCAAACAGACTCATCCCCCCTTGTGTGCCTTGACGCTAACGAGTCTAGTCTGCCCCCCTCCGATGCAATTGAAGCTTCGGAGCAACAGACCAACCAAGCCAACTAGTCTACCGATCGAGTGCCCCTTGAAGCTCTCCGACGTCCGTGAACGATTTTCTTGACGATATCAAGACGAGGTCTTTTGTGAATATACGTGACAAAACAAACCAGATTGGAGGATTGGAGGATTGTGAACCTGCACCATGAGTTCCAGCGGGGGAGATGCGAAGTTGTTCGCCAGGGTGAGTACTTTGATGTGCATTGGCACTGCTCTCCTTCCTGCCGCTCATTCGGACCATCCATACATGACGTGCAAGAGCCCTTTGGCCGTGTGCTTATCTTCCCGCGCTTCCCCTCATGCCTGTTCCCCTTGTTCACTTGTTCACATGAACCAGCGCTGGCTTTGTCTCTTCCTTCTGCGGGGGATCTTGTTCGCTATGCTCCTCATGCTGCTTCCTCCGAATCCCCTCCTCCTAGCTGGCCCCCAAATTCCTCCCTAGTCCGGTCTACATCCTTACCTTATTATGTTCCTCAGCGTGGTTCCGTATACAGCGCAATATGGCTCACCATTCTCTCGTTCCAAACAGGGCAAAGTCGCCGAGTTGCGACAGGAGTTGAACAGTGGGGGGAAGAAGGACAAGAACCATTCGGCCAAGAAGATCGCGCTCAAGAAAATCGTCGCCAATATGACCATGAGCAATAATGATATGGTCGCGTTGTTCCCCGACGTGATCGGCTGTATGAACTTGCCCAGCCTGGAGATCAAAAAGATGTATGTTTCCGGGAAGATATTGTATCGCATCTTGTGTGGGAACTAATAGTTTCTCTCACTACAGGTGCTTTCTGTTCCTCGTCAATTATTCGAGAGCGAAACCCGAGGTTGCGCTCAAGGCTTTGCCGTTCCTCATCGATGTGGGTGTTTTCCTTTACGTCTGGGGATGTGACAGCTAATCTGAATAATGCAGGATATGGAGGACTCCAACCCTCTCGTGCGTGCCCTGGCACTACGGACCATCTCCTACATCCATGTCCGCGAGTTTGTCGAAGCGACAGTGCAACCGGTCAAGCGACTAATGAGCGATATGGATCCGTATGTGCGCAAGACCGCCGCTTTCTGCGTCGCGAAGCTCTACGAGCATGATAAGAAGATGGTCGAAGCGTCGGATCTGATTGATCGGCTGAACAGCATGCTCAAGGACGAGAACCCGACGGTGGTTTCTAGCGTCCTGGCCTCCTTGGTGGACATCTGGGGTCGTAGTGAATCGATCTCACTGACTATTGACTACACCAGTGCCTCGAAGCTTGTTTCGATCTTACCAGACTGCTCTGAGTATGTGTCTATGCTTCTGTGTCCGACGCAGGTTACTGACGTTGTGCAGATGGGGCCAGTCTTACATCCTCGAGGCTTTGATGTCCTATGTCCCTCAAGACTCCGCAGAATCCCTATTGTTGGCAGAGCGAATAGCCCCCCGCCTGTCGCACTCCAACTCTGCTGTTGTCCTGACCTCTATCCGCGTTATCCTCTACCTCATGAACTACATTGCCGACGAAAGACATGTCACCTCCCTCGCAAAGAAGCTATCACCACCCCTTGTCACCCTTCTCTCCAAGCCTCCAGAAGTACAGTATCTGGCTCTCCGAAACGCCATCCTTATCCTTCAGAAGAGGCCTGAAGTGCTCCGCAACGATATTCGCTGCTTCTTCTGTAACTACAACGATCCGATCTACGTCAAGGTCACCAAGCTGGAGTTGATCTTCATGCTGACCACCAAGGAGAACATTTCCGTGGTTCTTGCAGAACTCAGAGAGTACGTCGGTCCTCCCTTCCTCTAACCGTAACCGCTAACACTTCCATAGGTATGCGACTGAGATCGACGTCCACTTCGTGCGCAAGGCAGTGCGTGCCATCGGAAAGCTCGCCATCAAGATCGAGTCCGCCGCAAAACAATGCATCGACACCCTGCTGGAACTGGTCAACGCGAAGATTCCCTACATCGTCCAGGAGGCGACGGTTGTGATCCGCAACATCTTCCGCAAGTACCCCAACCAATATGAGAACATCATCGGCAACGTGATCCAGAACATCGACGAGCTCGACGAACCCGAAGCCAAGGCCGCCATCATCTGGATCATCGGCCAGTACGCCGACCGCATCGAGAACTCTGACGGCCTCCTCCAGGACTATCTGGCCACCTTCCACGACGAGACCGTCGAAGTCCAACTTGCCCTCCTCACCGCCACCGTCAAGTTCTTCATCCAACGTCCCACCAAGGGCCAACAGCTCGTCCCTCAGGTCCTTAAATGGTGCACCGAAGAAACCGACGACCCGGACCTCCGCGACAGAGGCTACATGTACTGGCGTCTGCTTTCCACCGACCCCAAGACCGCAAAGCAGATTGTCATGGGCGAGAAACCCCCCATCAGCGCCGAAAGCGAGAAACTCGACTCCCGCACCCTCGAGGAACTCTGTCTCAACGTCGGCACTCTCGCCACCGTGTACCTGAAACCCGTCCAACAAGTCTTCCGCTCCGCGCGCACAAGACGCCTACAGTACAGCCCTGCCCTGCAGAAACCGAAGGAAGAACCCGGCACTACTGTCTGGCAATTCCCGGCCCCGTCGCAATCCAACAGTCCCACCGCCGCCATGGCCGCCAGCGCATCTGCCCCAAGCGATATGAACGCAGCTGTCAGCGCTGCCGACAGCTACTTCAACAGTGTCGGCACCCAGCAAATGGCTGCGCTGGACCTGGGCGGTCGCGAAGACGGTGGTGTTGGCGGTGGTGGCGCCCCCCAGACGCAGTATGTCGTTACTCAGAACCAGCAGCAGGTGTATCAGCCGCAGCTGGCGGGAGGAGCAGCCACGGGTGAGTTGTTGTTGCTGTAATTGTACTGGTTGTAACATTCTGTATTCTTTCTTTTTCTCCTGCTAGATAGGTTCTTAATTCTTCTTGGAGCGGTTTATCAATTATTTCGCAGGCAGGGACTTGTGATGTATTCTTTTTTTTTGTCCTTGATGCTTGGATATGTAGGTGAATATGCATTTGTTAGAGCATGAATAATAACATAAAACCTTGGTATATAATACATAGATAGCATGCCGAGCATAGGTATGACGAGAAAGGAGAATGACTGCATCCATATCGTGCTTCCAGAGCACAGCACACCATCCATCCATCCCATGATCATCATATGCGCCCAACAACAACCATGAAAACTAACTAGTATGATAATAACGATTAATCCTCATCCAAGCGAGCCAACCCACCCCGACTGCGCTTAATCCGCTCATCCAGACTATCCTCCTGAAGCTGTTTATGCAGCCCAGACACAAAGCGACCCTTCTCCGAGCGATGCTTCTCATCTTCTTCATGCTGCTTCGCTTCAATAGCAGTGACCTCCGCAATGCGCTGTCGCCGAGCATCCTCCATCTCGCTCGCGTTCGCTTGCATCTCTGCTAGCTTGCGTTGCCGTTCTTCCTCTTGCTGCTTGCGCTTCTGCTCGGCTTCTTCAGCGTTGGGCTTGTCGCGGCTGTATGTATCTCTGTCTCGGGGACGGTAGTCTCTCTTGTCTTGGTGGTAGCGACTGGATCGCTCGCGGTCGCGGTCTCTACGATCACGCTCACGCTCACGGTCCCTGTCCCGAGAATCTCTATATCCATCGCTTTCTCTCCGATCGTCGCTGCGCCGTCTGTCAGAGTGATGGCGATCCGCAGGGGATCGATCTCGCCGGTCATATCGATCTTCACGATCACGATCACGATGCTCCCGATGTCTGCTAGAGCGATGATAGTCCCGATCACTATCCCTTTCTCTCCTATGATCCCTCTCACTCCTCCTCTCCTTATCCCTATCATCACGATCACGATCATCTCTCCGCCTCCTCTCCGGCGACCTTGACCTATGCCTCTTCTCCCTCTCCCTCCTCCTCTCCCTATGCCCATCCCTATGCCCATCCCTATGCCCATCCCTATCCCTCTTCTCCCCCCCCCTCGAAGACCCTCCCCCCTTCCTAACCTCCTCCCTAACCATCCCCTCCAACGCCGCCTGCTCCCTCTTCCTAATCTCCAAAAGCGGATCAGCCAATACCTTAGCCATCGTATCCCTCGAATTCACCACCTGCTGCACGCCACCTCCCCCTCCACCCCCAAGCGACGCATTAAACTCCGCCCCCTTCTTCAACCCCTCCGTCTCGCCCCCCTCCTTCTTCAACAAAATCCCATCAATCCGTCTCTTCCCCAAAAGATACCCCTCCATTTCCTCCGCGTACATTCCCCCAGCTGCCCCCCCGGACCCAGGCTCCTGATACATCCAGTCCACGCGCTGGATCTGCTTCGGTTTCCCGGTCCCTTCTTGTAGCCGCTGGAGTTCTTGGATTTGTCGCTCTTCGTCGCGCTCGCGGCGGAGTTGGTCGATGCGTTTGCGCTCCTCGAGAGCGCGTTTTTCTTCCGCCCATACGCGCTCTTGGTTGCGGAGGAGGGAGGGGTGCCATGATCTGGTTTTACATCGTTGCGTTAGTGCTGGGACGGGGGATGGGTAGGGGGGGAGAGAGAGGGGGTGCGTACTTCTTCAAGTTGAGGTCGCCACCCATTTTGAGTGAGGGGGCTGGGTGTCCAGCTGGTTGTTTCTTGGTATTGTTGTTGCGAGGACTGGGGGTTGTAGGTGGATGGGGGAGGAAGGGGTAGATGTGAGAGATGGTGATGGATGGAGGTGAATTCCCGATAGGGAAGTATTGTATTGCCACTCACTGCGGCTGTCAGACTTGCCGGTTTCTGCCTGAGGCATCAATATACATACTATACGTTTGAACGGTGATTATTTCTATATTTATGGCAAAAGGACTTTACATAAAATGTATTCGCACTATGCAGTAAACAAATGACAGATTAAGCACATATGGATAACATCAATAGGTACATACAACAAG